ACGCTTAAAAAGGGAAAAGAGGAACTGAATAGAAAGCAGTGTCTTCTTGACATTAAGTGTGTTCACTGAACTTCCTGCTAAGATAGTATTTGATGGCTTGCTTGCAAATTATTTAAATGAGGAGTGTCTTCCCTTTCATTTTTCTGACTAGCTACCACTTTGCTTTCATTTTGACCTACCAGGTAACTCCACAAATTTACTGCTGGGGGGCGTTTCAACACTAGTACATTGATTAGATCTACTCTGGTTTTAAACTGTGGGTCAAGAGTCTGAAGAGAGCATCCATTCCACTGTTACTGTTTTAAAGTGAATGCTGACTGCTTCAGAAAATACGGTGCCATATTTTTTGTACATGTGGAAGAAATGCTTCCTTTACCAGATTTTGAGAAACGAAATACAAATATGAGAGAAACACAGATAAGTTACAAATGCAAGCAAGCAACGGATTTACAACTAGTGAAGTACATTATTTCTTCCAGTGAAGGTAACAAAAAGGAAGAAGTTAGGGCACTAATGAATTTTTTTAAAGACAAATGTTGAATCATATGGCCTTATCTCAGGAAATCTTGCTGCCTTTTTTGCCTTGGCACTCTCTTCAGATACCCTTCCAGCACCCTGAGGCACAACATGAGACAAAGACCATCAATGAAAAAAACACATAAAACAGTACAAGTCCTGTAATTTATAGTAATGAAAAGCAGTTTTTCTAGTCTATGTCATGAAGTTGGTCTGCTGCTCTGTACAGTGCACTAAGAGACACCATCCGAGCATCACAGGTTACAGTTTAAATTGTTTACATAGATGCACATGGCAAGAAGAGATGACATGTACTTACTATGGAAGTCATTAAGTAGATACACAGTCTTCCAAACCTTTCTGGAAGTTCACTATCTCCTCGAAGGTATTTTCTGAGCATAAGGATTTTTATTTATGCTCTTTAGAGCTGTGGTCGGTGAAATAAGTATACTCTGCTTTGACTTTGCAGTTATATCTGAGAAATAATTGAATAGGACTTACCCTTTTTTAACTTAGCCCAGGTTTCTTTCCTTAGAAATGGACAATAACACTGTGGTGGTAAATTAGTGATTTTGACCCTGAATATTGTGAATATTCCTGTGAAGGAAGATGTGTGTGTGTTGTACTCTGCATATAAAAGCACAAGACTAAGTTTTGGATGAGTGCATATTTATACTTAAGTTATTAGGAGATTTGTTTCACATTAAGTTTTAATACCTTTTTTAAAAAAAAAGACTTGTATTACAATTTTCACCCCAGTTCGTGCAGCTGTGTATAAAGCTAGGTTTAAAGCTAGTTGGAAGATGAAAAATGTGTTCCAAATGCATTTGCACAGATGCCATGGTCTTGTTCTATTTGTTCTCTTTAAACATATTTATATGGTAACTTATCAGCACCTTAACTCATCCAGAATTAACCAGGAGGGGCAGGGAGAGAGAGAGAATCCAGGCAAGTAATGGTATCTGTCAATCCTAGCACTTTTTTAACAGTGATCCCCCTGCAAATTTTGTTTGCAGTAATTTCACTTTTATTAAATGCAGCTACTTAGTTTTCCAAACCAAATACAGTGAATTCAAGGATTTGGCAAACTGCAACTACCAAGGTCCCTTTTGGGAAGATGTTATTCAGTTCTCATTAAAGGCAGAACTGAGGGGGGAAATGGAAAGTCAGACACTGAAACCATAGATGTTTTCTGCATGTTCTCAGAACCGTCTATTCCTTATTCTAGGGAGGGAATAAAGTATTTTCTGTTAATCAGTAGCTGTCATAGGATTTTTCTCATTAGGAAAACTCATGAATTTGTGTAACCTTAAGTAAATGCAGAAGGATTATTACTTTGTGTATACTACTTGTTAAATGCACATCATTAGAAAAGCAAATTAATGATGTTTATTATTAACGTGGACTGTGAGTAGAAGGAAAATGGGACAGACAATATCAGGTGTGGATAGAACCCTGATATTTATGCCAACACTGAAGCATTTCACTGCATGCAGTGAAGGAGCACAGTGGCACTTTGAAGGGGATAAATATCAGTGAAGAACTTAAACCCTCAAGAAAGAAAAGGGACCATGTTGAGAGGTCAAGAATCTTTGATGCTACCCTCAAATGCATTCAGTAATGAACAACGAGGCGGTAATGAGGATGAGGCAAATACCTACTCAGCTTCTTTTTGCATCATTAGTCAAGCCAGTGGGTATGATGGAACAAAAAAACTCAAGGAAAATAACCAGTTTTGGATCAACCCACATTTCTTTTTTGTTTTCTGCTGAGCAGAACAATAAACTGAAAAGAGGGTTGACCAGAAATAAAACATTTTGTTTTGTTTATTTAGTCCCTCTTTATTTTAGTTTTGTTAGTTAAATTTGAAGTGAAACATTGATAGTTTTGTTCTGGAAATGCTGTAATAAAATGCTTAGTCTTTCCCAAATATATTTGCTTTCCAAATGCATTTCTGAAACCATTTATTAAATTTTACACAACTTCATAAATACTTTTATTCTCCCTTTATGATGTGTTGAACTGATTAATCACAGTGTCCATTGCCAGTATTTTGTTTCCCAGGAACAAAGACCACTCATGTTTTCTCCTTTTTTTTCTCTTAATTGAAATGCATAATGCCTCAGCACCAAAATACTTGAGTGTTTTCCATATTAAAAAATTGCTCTCCATAGAACCTCTTGCCTTCGCTTTTCCTCCTTGTAGTAGAGCGATAATATGAAAATAAGAAATCAGTATAGTTAAAGATGCTTGCATGAGTGAAAAAAAAAAAAGTGATGCTGAAGAGATGGTTTTTGTGTGTGATTCTGGAATGTCAAGGTATTTGTCCTTTCTGAGGCTCTTCCTTCAGTGAGCAAGTGGGGGAATGCAACTGTTGTAATCCCTCAAGAGAAAGACAAGTTACTCTGAGGTAGCACCAACCCAATGCAGAGATGATTTTCCATCTCCAAACTTCTGATTTAAAAGAGAAGGGGAATGCATGTATTGTTCAGCTAGTATAGAAAGAATAGCACTAACCCTCATTCTCTGTAGTAATGACAGCTGTGGTCTACTGAGCTTAGCAGCAATTTAATGTTTTCCCCAGAACATACATTTATGTGTTTTGCTCCTTGGTATAGTGAGCTGGAGTAATTAAAATAACAATTCCACAGACAACCCACAGGCCACTACAGAGTTCCGCAGTTCAATGTACAGTCTTTATAGTTAGTCCCCTGTAGGAGGATGAGAAGTATTTCAAAACCAGGGATCGTTTGGACAGTTGCTCCCTGTAAAGTCAGCAAGCTCATACTAAGTCTGTTAGTTGATAGTTGAAAGCCACACGTCCCAAATGAGGACAAAAAAAATGACAGTTGTTTTTTTGGTGAGGACTTTTCCCTCTTTTCAGACAAATGATCTCAAGCTTGCCTGGACTGAACTTCAGTGAATTGCTTTGCCACACTGAGCAATTCTGAAGGGGACTGTGCTAAATTCAGAGTAAAAAGGAAGCTGTCCACTATGACTCAGACACAGATATCTTAGCACAGTTCCCATGTAAATGAATTTAGATAGAAGTGTAACGTTTAGTTGCTAATTACATTTAGCCTCCTTTGGGGAACCCACCAAGATGTCTATGAATGTATAGCTCCAGCCAGTGAACAGACAGAATTAATCCATTGGTTTGCTCTAACAGGGGACCTGAAAAGAGCAATTACTTACACTACCATGATTGCCCTTCCTCAAGGTTAAATTCTCTGAACACATTCCACTGTTGTTCTTCCCATGAGGTGATTTTTCTTTGAAGAGTAGTGAAAGCTATTACATTTACTATCCACTTACTTATTTTTCTAAATTAACAATAGTGCTTTTGGTTAATGATAATGATTTTTTTCATTATTAGTGGCATCTTTATCCCTTATAAGCCGCATCTTAAAAAAATACAGAATTTGAAAGTTAAACTTAGGAGAGACATCAAAGGTCATTGCTCATCATAACCTGTTTTTCCAGCAGTGACTCTTCGTGACAGATGTTTGTCTAACAAAAACTGTTTGTTCTAAAACCCCTGTATATCTTCCCCATGTTACCTGTTCTCATGCTTATTCTTAGTGCCATTAAAATATTTTTCCTAATGTCTTGATCTAAGTTTCAGTTGATGCCACTTAAACCCATGACTTGCTGTCCACTGAGTGTGCTTGGGTTTTCATATGCAGTCTCCCTGTAGTTGAGATTTTGCCAGTGCAGAGATGGCACAAACATTTCTTCAATTGTACAGGGCGTTTTCCACAGTAGGATGATATTGTTAATTCACATTCAGCTTGCAGTGCCAATATAGCCCCTTATCCTTTTGTCGCAGAAATGTTCCTTAAATTGATATTTCTCTAGCATAGGTTCTTGAAATTGATTACTTCTATAAAGAATCCTGCCTTTATGCCTTTTATTTGCCTTTTTTTTTCTTTTAAATTGGTGCACTCAGAAATTCTGTTGATTTACTCAAATATTGCACTCATAAAAAATTAGTACAGAGATGTTTATAAGGACATAATGCATGTATGGATTCAGGAGAGTTATCGGTAACTCGCAATATAGCAAAAGATGCTTGCTTTAGCTCTTCCAAATAAGAGGTAGCTTAATAGTCTCATTTTACAACCAGATTTACAAAGAAATCATGCTTTCATAAATGATCTTCTGTCTCTCTTCACATTGTGGCTATTGCAGGCTCCCAGATTAGGTTTGATCAGGTGCTTTATGTCTCTCCTTAATGCTTTCAGAAGGGGATATGGCTTCGCTGTCAAAATACCACTGCGGCTACTGCATTCCTCTCTTGTATTGCGAGGTCTGTTGTTGGGAGTTTCTGTTGAACATAAACATGCAACGCAGATTCCTAAACGTTGTGTTAAGCAGTTTACACACCAAGAGAGTTCTCATCAGCAGTCAGCTGCAGAAGAGCACCATTTATGTGTCCAGACTATTTTTATTTCTAATAACATCCTTTTGTATTTTTCTTTTAGGTAGAGAGGATTGTAGACAAAAGGAAGAACAAGAAGGGCAAATGGGAGTATCTCATCAGGTGGAAAGGCTACGGAAGCAATGAAGACACCTGGGAACCTGAACATCATCTACTACATTGTGAGGAATTTATTGATGAGTTCAATGGACTACATGTTTCTAGAGAAAAGCGATCAAGACATGGGAAACAGGCTCCTAAGTTTTTACGGGAAAGCCGAGGGTCATCTCTTGAGAAAGTATCACATAGACCACCTGAAACTGGGAAGTCTAAAGGGTCAACACACAAAAGGAAGAGAATTAACCCATCTCTTCAAAAACAGAAAAGGGGATACACAGCAAAGCCACCATCTGCTAATGATAGGGCTGCTAAAACTGTGACTTACCGAACTACTCCCAGCGGTTTACAGATTATGCCACTGAAAAAGCCACATAGTGGTCTGCAGAATGGAGATGGTAGTCATGAAAAGGATTCTAGACATTTTGGGAATGGCTCACAACAGCAAAACGCAGATTTAAATGAACATGAAGGAGAACAAAACTTGGCCAGCGTGTTGGAAGTTAGTAACGATTCACCTGTTGTGAATGGAATTGGTATGTGATTTAAACAACTACAGTCTTAGGGGCGGGGGGTGTTAATTGCAGCAACTGCAAATAGAGATCCCACTTGTGGAAAAATCTTGTCATGCTACGCAAGTGGTATGGTGAGAAGCATATAAGCAAGTGTCACACTCTTTCCCTATGTATTACACCATTTTTTACCAGTTTCCTTCTCTCCTTCCGTTTCCCATGGAGTGACACGAAGCAGATTGGGCTTCATTATGTGCTTTTGAAGTAGAAAGTCCTTTTGGGGAAATGATGACAAGGCACTGAGTAGGAATGATGACTGAGGTATGTATAATACTGCAGCTGGGTTTCTCTATCACCAGGTAACAAATTACTTCTCAGTTATGTGTGCTCAGACACATTGGTCTCCAAAGATCAGGATTATTTTAGAAACAGAATTAATATCACTCTTCCTAAAGTATCCTCTGGTAAGTGTGGATGAGTAACATTCAAGTTCTTCAGTATTAGTGCTCCTCATATTCAAGAGTACTTAGAACTGCCAGATTCTTGTCTCTGACAGTGACTAGATATATCAGAAGTCACATTCATACTTTGTGGGAACATACAAAAAAAATGAAGGGAATGAGAAGAAATGGGAGAAATTTCTTTCTAATCGTCATGGTTCCTGATTGTCTTAGTTCTTAAGGAATAAAGGTTTATGTTCTCTATAAATACTACTCAGCTTAATGCAGCTTCTCATTATCTATATGTGTCCAATCTTTTTTTCTTTTTCTTTTCTTTTTTTTTAATTCTACCAAATTTAAAGCCTCCAGGAGTTAAGACAATGAGATGCACATTTTATTTGATCAGTTTCTTGGGTCTGGGGGGTTGTTTGGGGTTTTTTGACCTTTGTTTTCATTGTATAAGCTCTTGTCCTTATACAAAGGGATAAAGTGGATGATGTCCTATCAGTCAGTAGGCAGCCCCAGCCTTTTTAGCCTGCCTACCATGTGGAGGTCTTTCCAGGTTCCTGGTAGTTTTCAGTATCCCTTTGTGCCTTTGGTGTGTGGAGGGTTCTTTTAATACCTTTAAAAAACAGCAGGAGCTGTACCAAATGATTTCCTACTGCTTACTGATACAGTGGCGATTCAGCCTTTTGAGGATTTTTTTTTTTTCTGCTGTTACACACTGCATAAAGGTTTCCATTGAATGATACACAGTAGCTCTGACACTTTTTTTCCTTGCTGGTTACAGTTAATTTAGAACCCAGCTGTATGTATGATTCTTTTCATTATGCATTTAATCTGCTTTACTGTTGCTAATTCACCTTTTCCTTATGACTCAGTGAAGCTCTTCAAAATCTTTCCTAGTTTTTACTCTACTGAATTTGTATTCCTTTCAAATTTTCCTCTCATACTTCTCTTCCCAGTTCATCAATATATGTATTAAATAATCCTTCTGCAGGTCCTTGGGGCAGCCAACTACTAATCATTTGACCTGATGAAAAGTAAGCATTTGTTCCAATTATTTATTTTTATTAGCCACTTTCTGTGGCCCATGATAGCGCTCGTTTCCCTGACAGCTTCTTGTGAATTGCCCTGCCAAAAACTCCAAAAGTCAACTTAAATTATATCACTCCAATTTCCATTTTCCACCCTACTGGCAACCTAGCAAATGCTGCTTGATTTGCGAAGTAGAACTGGCCTTGCATGGTCTTACTTGCGACATCCTGTGACTACTGGGATGTTTCAAACCAGACGTCAAATACCTTGTTAAGACTCCCAAGACAGCAAAATGTGTAGTCAGCTTTAAATGCAGAAGTAGCCCTGATGATGTCTATGACACTTAAATTTAAGAGTGCAAGCTTTTATATTTTGGTGAGTTTGAGCTCATACAAGACTGCTTAAATAGCTACCTGCTTCTTTAAAAAGACTTGCATATCTAATTACAGATGTGTGTAAGGTTATTTTTCTTTGCTTTCTTACTGTTTCTAATGAAGATTTTTAAATAATTTGTTTTGTGTTACTCATCATGGAAGTTCTAATATAAAATGCATCTTTAAAATGCATTAATTGCCATATTTTATAATCTTTTTTTTTTTTCTTAATGAAGGACTTGAGGGGCACAAAAAACCATAAGGTGAAATGAGCCTTTCATTTGTCCCCAGAAGAGCTCACAAATGGCATCCACCAGCCCTTGTTTGAATAAGCTCTGTAAGACTGCTCTAATTCATCAGAAGACCGCTTTAACTAAGCAGCCAGGTGTTCTGCCAGGCACAGAGACATGTTTCTGGCCTAACAGCTGATATATGCACCTCCTCTAAAACATTTCTTTATGGTGGCTTTTGCATTCTCCAAATCCATCACATCTCTTTTGTATTCTGCTCTCCTTTCTCCCTTGCATTCTGGCCTCCCTGTAGGCAATAGCAAGAGATCTTTAAATCCCTACCTGCTTCTCATCTGAAAAGCCTATACTCAGCAGCACTCCCAAGGTCAGAAGTCCCTGTAGTCCTGCTTTGTGATACCCAGCATGTGCATAGTGGGGAAAACTACAAAGAGGAGAGATGAGACTGCCAAAGGAAGAGCAGGCAGAAACTGGTGAGGAAGGGTCAAAATCAAAATACTGGGGTTTTTCCTAAAATTGTCCTACAAATTTGAGAGAAGTAACATTTTCTTATACAGGGTTTTGCATCATTTGAAATGTCAAATTGAAGAAACTTGCACTACTCTTCAACAAGCCCAACAGTTTACTGAATTCCCTCAGTATTCACACTCCAAAGGAATGTGAATAGTGAGCACAGAAGATGCCACTGTGATTCTGCCACGTGTCCTGTTAGTATCACAGACTCATTGTCATCAGGATAGATGTCACACTAGAAGCGGTCTGAAATTTTACACATGACAAATGAAGAAAGTTTCAGAGGAAAGTGCCGATTTGTTGAATAACAGAAGGTTTTTCCAAACGTTTTGAGTTTCAAAACTTTCTCCAAATCCAAGCCAGTGTCCCAAAGCTTCGTCCCTTGAGAGCAGGAGCAGTGTGGCAGTCTGCTTGGCAGGACTCCCGCACTTCGCTCTGAGGCAGCCAGCTATGCCAGAGGTTTCAGGCAGTCTGCCACAGAGTCTGGAACTCGAAAGCCTGGCATGCACCATCAGTGCTTCCAGGGCACTATATGTAGAACAAAGAGAGAGCCTGGAGGACCTGGGTTTGACTACCAGAAGCTGTGGCTCCCAGGCAGCCCCAGGCAGAATGTGAGGAAGCAGACATTTGTGTCAGCTTTGAGATTGCCTGTAAGGAGCCCAAGTGAATGTCAGACTCACTTCACAGCTGTGTGTAAGAGTGCACAGAAAATGCATATAGGAATTTTAAGATGAAGCCTAGATTTGGAAAACAAAAATACCTCACAGTTTGAAAACCCAGCTGTAGGCCCAGCTCTGCTGCCAGTGTTGTATTAATCGTAATTAATAATTTATAAACTATAACTAATCAAAATACATCTGTTTTGTTTGTGGTATGCCAGTTCTGTTGAAACAAACAGTAGCTATTTGAAAACTAGTTTTTGACAATTTTTTGAATGGACTTCCACCAGTCTGTGCTTGGTTTTGCATATATATCCACTTGGGTACAAGTGTTTCCTCCTAAACCTTTAGATAAAACTCTCACCAGTAAGCTGTTTACCCCATAAAGATGAATGTATACCTACAGATGTATGCACAAAATCATATGTGCACCACAGTTGAGGCTTGGAACCTTGCTTAAGTTGGGACAGACCTTTCTTACCAAAACCTCTCTTGACCTTCTACACATCCCATCCTAAGGAGAGTAGATTCATCTTCACCAACAGTTTTAAGACAGTCTGTGAATTGGAAAATATGGGGAAACTCTGGGGGAAAGCATCCACTGATGCTCCCAGGAGCTAACAATACTATTCTTTCTGATATTTGTTGTCTTCTGTTACCACATTTCTGTTTCTCCAGATATTGTAATTGAGAGTGATTGTCTTGCCAAGTTTCTTGCGGCATCAAAGAACATCCCATTTTAATTTTCTCTTTCCTTTTTCTACATAGCTCTGTACCATCTGCTGAAGAATTTTTGCTTGTCATGTAGCACTAACCACTCTTTTTCTCCATTACAAAAATCTTTGTAGTCTCACGGTGCCCTTATTTTAAATATTCTCAGTGAACTTAGTCACTGCTTCCTCTTGGGGTATTTTTTTTTTTAGCTTGTTCTGTTTTTATTTATTCTGGAGCAATACTGGCAGTAAGAGACAACCAAATATGCTTGCTTTCTCAGTTTGGATCAAAACTCATTGCTTTTAGATATCTTACAGATGCTCACTTAGCTGGAGAAGTCTGAAATTATTACTAAATTATCAACAGAACACTGCGTTTAAATATGTACAGTATTAACTATTGCCCACAAGAAAGACGGAAAGGAGGCAGAGAAAAACTATTGGGAAGACTGAGGAATGCCAAGCTGTTTTATCAGGGAAAGTAAGGGAGCATGGTTTATTTCACTTAGAAAAATTAAAGCCCTAGCTCCATGATGGTTTTCATTCACCATGAATGCATGCTGCTAACAAAAGGAACAGTCCAGCTTTCCTTCCTGTGATAACCTGATCGTTATTCCCATCCCTTCCCCTGCACTGGTTATAGCACTCCTGAGGTTACAAGGTGGACCTGATCTGTTTGACAATTAACCATGGGTTTCTTTCCAGCCAGAACATTTCATCAGGTCTGTTCACTGTATGGCTGCTCACCTGGATGCTGGTACCAGCACAAGCACCACTGTGTAGGAGGTGGCACAGACTGCTCCATTAATCTGGCTGCAATCAATGCTAAGAAAGAAAAGGTGTATCTGAAAATAACAGTAGCTTGAGATGTCTTTTTCTACTGGGTAGAAGCAGTGGAAGGAGATGGGTAGATCCAAGTCCACTAATGTATTGAGTGATCTGAGGCTCATTGTCATCTTTTCACCCCTTCCCCTCCTACTTTCTGCCTCAGCTGTTTTGACCATAAACTTCTGTCCAGTATAATGGAGCCCCAGTCTCAGACTTGATCTGGAGTCTTCAGGCTCTTTCTGGTACCAACAGCAGCAGCAGTAGTAACATCGTTCCTTGTTGTTCCCTTTGACAGTGGTGGAATACTAGAGAAGGTGCGCGAACAGGCAACTAAAATGGCGAGGATCACAAAAATAAAAGAGGCTTCAGTTAGGCAAGGGAGAGTCTGAGGGGGACTACGATCAAAGTTTACAAAGTCATCAAGACCTCAGATAAAGTAAATGCAGAACTGTTGTTCACTAGATCCCTCTAGCAGAACTAAGGACCCCTCACTGAAACCGGTAGAACATCAGATAAGAGCACACATCAAAGAAAATTCTTCTATGTGTAGTGGCTGCACAGCTTCTCAAAGTGATACCACAGGAAGCTGTGGAGACAGACAGCGTCAGCAGGCTCAGAAGGGGATTAGGGAAATCCATGAAAAGGTCCATGAGCAAATAAGGAAACAGGAAGGATGAATCCTCTCCTATTCCTGTACACCACTTAGGGATGATACTAGGAGAAAGGACTGCAGAAAGTGGCCAAGCTTGCATTTTCTGCCTTCTTGGAGAAGAATTACTAGAGGCACCAGTGGTCTGGGAGTATTTTATGTGCCTTTAAAAAGTATTGAAGCTTCTTCAAAATATCAGTGTTGGTTTAGATATTCCATGAGTTCTACTAAAGATTAAAATCAAGGTAATTAGATTAAAAGCCCACTAAATGAAGGAATATTTTCACACATTCTGCATTTTTTTTATACTTAGTCTGACTGTCAAATACTTAATACTCAGCCAGTGAACCACACTTACAGGTACCTAAAGCTTCCTTAGTTAATTTGTGACACCCTAATTTGTTTCAGATACAGTATGGATTGCTTTGAGCATGTCTCTTTTTCCCTATGTCGCAATCATTTTTTATCTTGACATATTAAGGTACTGTCACTCTTGTGCACATTAAGCAGCTGCTAAGTATTAATGCTCGTGCAGAGACAATCTGGACAATGCTTTCGTGGTTCGAGCTCCATTGCATCCATGCAGACATGCTCAATGGGCCTGGTTTCACATGAGTCTTGTCTTTAGGTTTTGCTGATCATTTTCTCCAGTTTGTCAGATCAAACAAGATTACAGGGATTACACCAAAACAACAATTTAGTCACTGTATGTTGATCATCCATTCTTACAAATGTCACTTTTTCCATTCATATTTCTCTCCTATTAAATTCAGATCTTTCCTCTGGTTAAATTCTTGTCAGCATGCAGGTAGTTAAAGTACTGTGACAAGATCTATAATTTCTTACATCATACATTAATTCACAAACTGAATATATATCTCGAACAAAGAATACAAGAAAAATTAAAATTATTACTATGAGGCTTTTTTGTTGAGCTGGATTATCTGTGAGAATTAATCTTTCACTATTCTCTTCCCATCAGTATTTAAAATAGATGGGGCATAATCTTTAACAGTAGGTAGTCAATCCATCTTCCATTCAATGTTCATGTGTGCCTTTGATTTTGTATGTTCTTTACACTTTTTTTAGGGTATTTAACCCTTCACATCTTTGTAGCTTATTGCTGGATCAAGCAACACTTTAAGGACTGAATAGATAAAAGTGCAATATTTAAAAGTCTGCCTCAAATAATTACTTTCCTTCGGTATATTCCCAATAATATTAGTTTTCCATTAGTAATTTCACAAGTCCATTTCTGTTTGTAAGAATAATTGTCAAAATATATGCAGTAGCAAAACCTTATGAAAAATAAGAAATTATGAATAATTTTAAAAATTCAAGCATATTGTGATTCCTACCATTGCAGATAATTGGAAACAAATTTCAAATTCCGCTGGCTTCAAATGATGTTTTTTCAAATAGATGATCGGATGTAATTTGTCAGTACTAGTATTGCACCAGTTGCATCCTCTATTCAGTGTAGTGCAGGCAGTGCTTTAGATGGTACCTCTTAATTTAACCATGAAAAAGAGTTTCATGATTGACTGAAATAGCAGACTTTTTAACAAACGTGTTTCTGTGTGTAAATACATGTCTACCCATATGTACATGTTACATGATGAGGCTGAATGATGCACCAGGGAAATACTGTTAAGCATACTATGTGCTTTAGCATCACATATCATAACTGCAGTGTATATATAGGCATTTCACACACTGTGAGCAATTCCACAGGCCATTGCCATTTGAGAGGTATCAGACACTTCACGTACCTACATAAACATCAAATGAAAAAATAGCTAATCCAAAATGAGGGTAAGTGATTTTGGAGAGAGTAATCTGTTGTGAATACTCCATTTTTATTCCAAAAGAGCATTTTTAATTGGATAGTGATCATTTAAACTATAACATATCTATGTTCTAATATTCATGTCATCTGCCCTTTAAAAATTCCTGGCTATTTGATTCCAGAAGCTGGAACAGGTCAGCTTTGGCAGGAGTGAAGAACAGAACAAACAAAGGTGTTTTCATTCAGCTCTTTCTTGGCCTTTCTTAAGTACAGCATCTCTTGGGCTTGTGTCTGTTTAAACAACAAACAGATTTGGAGAATGTGCTGGGTTTGGCTGGGATAATTTTCTTCATCAAAACTGTTTCAATGAACAGACTGACTTTAATCTCAGTTCTTCAGTGACCTGCCTCTGTGTTATTTTTCATGCAATGGCATGAAACATCTGTAATTAGAAAAAGAGCATTGCATTAAAATCTTGTAAAGATGTTTTCAACACTCTGGCTCAGCATTGTTAACAATCATTACATATTGCCTATTAGAGAGAAACTGTAAACATAAGCAAAGTAATATTTTACAGCTCATACACAGTGTAAGTCAGAATAAATTGTCTTTTAAAATTGATGTACTATAACTCATTAGTTTTTAAGGAGAAACTGTATATTCTTTGTCATAGTTCCTTTTTTTCCATACTGCTGGGTACCTTCCAGAAATGGTATCAGCACTAATATTTCCTATATACAAAATCCACTGTTGATATCATACCCATTAGTCAAAAGTCAGCAATTACTGTTTGTGTAAATGTAATGAGCAAGAGCTTGGGGTGAGAGCAGAGGATGGCCAACTGCTGCTTCTAACACTAACACAAGGGTAAGTGAAAGAGAATGCTGGTAGTGTCAGCTTAGTAAGAACTCTCCTAACTTACTCTATGTGACCCATAGAGATGTGCCACAACTGTGTATTCAGGTTGTCACTTTAACATGATAATGACTTTTTGGCCACTGTGAGAGAAGACGTACCTTTTGAAAGAAGGGATTTGGAGTAAACCTGTCAAGTTTTTCCAAAGCTGATCACCCCAAATTCAGATAATACAATCACTTTTCAAAGTGGTTTTTCAAAGCAGAACTGAATCCCATCAATGGTCCCAGTCGTACATGCTATACAATTCAATTGTCTGATGCGCCAACAAAAAGTACTGCATGTTGGAATACAGTAAGAATGGCTTCAGGCTACATGTAACTAGCCAGGCACATTTTTGATTTATCACATTTATCACGTAGAGGCTACTGTAAATACTGAACTGTGTTTAAGCTAATAGAAAGTATCGCTCCATTTCTTCAAAGATTGAGACATAATTGTGCTTTGATTCTTTCCATCTGAAAGGTTCTTCTCTGGCCAATGGAAGCTTGAATCTACACAGCACTGTGAAAAGGAAACTAGATGGGGAGAAAGATTATGTCTTCGATAAGAGACTAAGATACAGCGTGCGTCAAAATGAAAGTAACTGCCGGTTCAGGGACATTGTAGTCCGGAAAGAAGATGGTTTCACACATATTTTGCTGTCAAGTCAGACTTCAGATAACAATGCATTGACCCCAGAGGTAAGTGTGTAGCCATGAAAGCCAAAAAAAGCCATCTTAATGTGTGGGTTATCTTGCAAACACTGCACTTGAACTGGATGTTGTGTATTTTTTCCCTAATTGGTTATCTTAGAAAAGAAATACGGAGTTCAGGTACATCTGACCTTTCCCATGCTTGGGATTCCTATCCAGAAGAATGCAGAGGAAATTAATTTTTAATTTACCTGTCTGAAACCAAAGTCAGAAGTAGAGAAAGAAATGGCAGAATCAGTACTTCCAGCATGGAGTTAGTTGCGTGACAGAGCTTTTCTCATGTTGAAGTTACTGATATTTACTGTCCTAGAGAGAAATCTAGTTTTTTTCATTTTATTATTTAAATAGTGCTCCAATTTTTGCAGACAGAGAATTTCAGGCAATATGCTGAGTCAGTAATTCTAAGTGTATATCTTGATGCCCAATTGAGTTTTATTCTGAATCACTTTATGAGCCCTTACTTGTGAAATATTAACCAATTAGGGGCTCTGTTCTCAGCTGAATTCATGCAGTTGTACAACGTATAAATGATATTAATGAATCCCCTTGTTCCAAACATTACACGCTTACTGTCAGACTTGGACTTGTAGCTTGTACTTACTGCTCCAGTAAATATATGGGTTAGGGAAAGGACTGAGAAGCTTTTCCTTCCATTCACTGTGATCCCAGCATAGCGGGCAGTGATGCCCAGGTGTACCATTCCCATGTCAGAGCTAAAAAGGTGTCAAATAAATGTCAAATCTCTCTCCGAGAGGAGAGAACATGCTTGAGCCCTGTTCCACATGGGCAGCAATGGACTGATTGAACGGGGCTGCTGTAGATCAGAGAGGAAAGAACAGGAGGTGCCTCCCAGCACCAGTTTTGCCACTCCGAGCATTCTGCAGGTAGAGTTCCTCTGCCTGCAGAGGGCAGGCTGCACTGTGGCAGATCTCTGCCTCTTCTGCCCCCCAGACATGCCAGTGCAGCTCTGTCCTACACAGTGACTTCAAGATAACAGGATATGAAATATCAGTTTGAGCACCATCTGAGGGAAAAGGAGACTGTAGCTTTGAGGAGTTATTTTATTCAATAAGAAACTGAGTAACTGTGAAATTAATTACTTATAATGAGCTTCAGATAAAACCACTAGCAGGTGTGATGAGCCCTGAATTTGACTCCCCTTCCCAAACGCACACCTACACAGGTACATCAATGGAGAGAATGAAACTAAATAGTTTTTGAACTCTTAGTTTTTAAATTTTATCATATTTAAAAGAACTATCTTGCTAATTAACACAGAACACCGAACTTTTAATACTAATTCCTATCTAACACTAGCTTTTAACACAAATGCTTTAGATTGCATAAAATCCATCATTCCATCTCCATGTATTAATTACTACTAACTGACATCACAGGTAATTTAAATGAAGAGCTCAAGGGCCTGAAAAAAGTATGAAGTCAAGAACTTGCTATGTTCAGGCTGAACAGCCTTACCTTTATGGTGCTGGCTGTGCTGTTCCTATCAGCTGTGTTCAAATGCTCAAATCAGTGAATTAATTCAGGCTCTTCAGGTCTGCCAAACCAGTTCACTTCATTCCTTGGAAATACTCCATATGCTGGGAAGCCACCTCTGTGGAAGAATAAATGATAAGCATGTAATAGAACTTCTCTTGCATCACTGGTGTAAACTTATTTCTAGAACCTTTATCGGAGCTTACTTGAAAACTACATTACTGGCCAGGATCTGGATAGCCAGGAATTAGTCAAGGTAATGTGTTCCACACATTGAAAATGTCTGTTTAAAACTCATCCAGGCTGAGAGCAATTGAAAGCTCTTGCCTTCTGAAGGCTGCTTCCTGGCACACATGAAATGACTTACTTGGCCTGCATCCAGGCTTCTGCCCATGATCATTCACACACAAAATCCTGCACCTTCAGTATTGGCAATTCCACATCCTTGCTGCAACTACAGCAGAAATCCAAGGAACTGAAAGGAGGAATATATTGAATTCCTTGTTCCTGCAGTTTGTCACCCATAGCCATAGGTGAGGCAAACTGCCAGAGTATTCTAGGGACATTTACAGCATTTTCAGTTTTGAAGGCTCTTACCGCCGGTGAACAGAAAGTACAAAAACAAAACTCCCACAGAGTGAAGAATGGGAGTTTCATTTTGTCAAAAGAAACATTAACTTCAAGCTTAATTAGACATCCAGTAGATTATATTTGCCAAGTAGTAAATGATTAATTTACTCAGGGTAGCTCTACTTGCTGTGGTTAAAATAGTGATGTGGTTATTCTCGGCCATGTATCTATGTTGGTAAAAAAAAAAGAAAAGGTGTGCACTGACCACAATCATAAAATCAAGCTTATACAAAATCACTCTCACCCCTAAACAGCACTGCTTGCTTTTGTGCTTTATCTTAACTTTCAGATGAAATGTAATAGTTTTGTTCAACTATTGGCCTCTGCTATTTATGCCAGTTTAATTAAAAAAAACAAAGAATTTATTTATACCAAAAAAAAAAGAAAAATAAAATCTTACAGAAGTCTCCCTGAATCTCTGTCCTGTTTGTGGTAACCACATCACACCTGTGGGCATGTGCAGGTGATTTTAGCATGAAATGTGCCCATGCTCCTTCTAGCCTTGTTGCACTGATTGAAGTTGGCTCAGTGCCACTCTGGTAATTGAGCTTTTTCTACAGAAATGTTCAGGCCACTATAGCAATTCCTTCTTACGTTTTACAAGGCCTTATAATACTTCCAAGCCAGTGTCATGAAACAGCACAGGTTTTTTATTTCAGTGGCTGAGTCTTGCTACCTTTAAAATTAATTTTCAAAATAGATACAGAAAGTATTTCATCATTATAAATTCCATTAAGACATTTTCTCTCATGGGTCTTTTGCTGGTTCTGAAGTTCTTTCTCCAGTGATGATGTTGGTATTTTAACTCAGCAGATTTCAAGGATCAAAATTCTGTTTGAAAATTAAGATAAAATGGATCCATCCACGCTTTTTACTTTACACTATTGCACTAGGAATTAATATTCCTAGCTTATTAATATATTCATAATATATGAATTAAAAGCAAAATATACCCCAGACAGCTAATGTTTCCATTGAAGACTGATACTACAACCTCAAATACACTTGAATCAGGTTCAGGTCCTAGCCATGAAAGTTAAAGGGTTCAAAGTTCTACCAGGTGCATTTTGGAGCACTGGTTTGCCTTCACTTCTTGCTTACAATTTTCTTAACTTCAAATAAAATAAAAAGAAGAGGCAGGTACGAGTTTACTGTTCTCTCTATTTTTGCTCTCATACATAGACAGCTTGTCAGGTTTGGCCAGTACTTCTGCCTGAAGCCAACCTGACACGTTCCTGCATCCTTCATTAATCCAGCAGAGAGGACTCACAATCTGTTTGCACAGAGTCAGCAAGTAACAAAAAGTGTATCTATGTAGAAAGGTGTAAGTGAGGAAGAGTTTCTAAGAACAACTGAAAGACTTTAAAATTCTGTTTGTTATGGTATTTACAGAATATTTACCTTTACAAATATCAACAGGGAATCCTTAGAGATTCAGAGAAATTAAATGTTTAAAGCAGTATTCCTGTTTATATGAAAGGAAACTTGTGTTCAAGAGACTTTTTGTAATCATGGTGATAAATTCCCAGTTCTGGGGTTTCCCCATAATGCGAGCAAGATTGAAAGCAAGGAGCAACAAATGCCTTTTAAATTTCCAGCATCCAGTAAAAGGCATTAAAATAAGCTCTTAGAAGTTTAATGAAGTTTTCACACATTTTATGTTTATTTTGCAACATGAGGTGTCCTGTAAGGAGCCAGGACTTAATCCTTGACAGGATTCAAAAAATAAGCAACTTTTGAGAAAGCGATAATTTTATTATATATTTGGGTTTCAGTAAAACAGTACATGAAGCGTTAGGCCTGGTCTAAATTTATAATTCAGTTGATTATCACAAGCTAAATAACTGGCCCATACTGATCAGTACATACTTCCTCAGAAATTTTAGTCAAATGTATTCAAATAGAAATACTGTTCCCACAACTGAAAATTAACTAAAAGACCATAAAGAGCTAATTGAGAAAAAAAAAAACAAACATGGAACAGGAAAATACTGCTTATGGAGCCTTGCATGTTTTAGATATGGTCCAATAGGAAAAGTAAAATTTTATTGGACAAATGCCATAGTTACACCAAAATGAGGGCAGGTTTGAAGACTGTGGAAGAGAGGAAAGGAAAATGTAATCTGACATGTAGTATCTCTGTATTTGCAAACTGAATTCACTACATCATTAAATGGAAAACTACATCATAAAATGGAAAACCAGACTGTAGTTCTGATCTAAAATAACATTTATTTCACAGTACTGCAGTTTAACACACAGTTCTACAACCCTATAGACAAACCTTCTTTTTTGTGTTTATTTTATTGTTAGTAACTTTCCTATAATCATATAAACATCTGCGGCGAAATACCCACACCCAGATAATATATGAGGAAAGCCATGATGCCAAGGCATTGGGAAGCAACAATGAGGTTGGCTAGAACCAGGCTGAGTGACAAAATGGATTTTAGACTGTACCAGCAAAGGACTGGGCATAGAACAAGGGAATGAGGGTTGACTTTGCTGGCATTGGTGTATTCCAATGAGTTTCTGAGCACCTTTTGATTATAAAGTTAGTGACAAATTTACAGATTTAAAAGAAATAGTTTTTGGAGCTTGAAAACACTGGTATGTTATGGTTTCCTCGTTTTTGGTACTATTTACTTTTGCTATGAACTAGTAGAGCAGTGGAACTTAATTTCCACTGCTGCTCAAACAGACTATGCAAAATGCTGTTGAAGCATTCCTATTTTCCACCATATCTGAGAAGTAAGTTCCTAATAATGGGCTTTTAATATCACTCTCTCCAAAACATTGAACAGTGATAGCAGAATATTGGGTTTTCCTACCGGTAGTATCAGATTTGCTCAAAAGTTTGGTATACTTTCAGATGGCTTTAACCATAAAGATCAATGAGGGGCAAGATAGAAAAGAAACAGGTTTGGAATGGTAATGATGTGTTTGAAGGTTAGGAGTGATAACATCAAAGATACGGTACAAATGCAAGTATCATTGGAGGAAGGAGAATGGTAAAGAAACTTGCTGAATAATAAAACAACACTCTTATTATATATAAAAATGTTTGACTGGCATTCCCTGATATTATTTATACACCCTCCCTGAGAAAGAGCAGATTTTGAGAATATTTAAAATAAACTAAGAGGACAGTCTTGCATTCACATGGAACTAGGAGTATCAGAATACATGTCTTTGTATTCTAACATCTACCACCTTTTCAAGTTTGTTTTTAACTTTGAACAGAGATTTTAGGTTCCTCTGTTTCCCCTTCACAAAATGTGCAGTTTTGCTGTGGTTTTTTACCAGCTATGGGCTGATACAGCCTCTGAGGCTCTGGGAATACACAGTACTTGTAAAATCACTGATGACGTTTTCATACCTGCACAAGAATTTCAAATACACTTTCAAATTCTGCTGCTTTTAATTACTTCACTTCTACCCACTGTCACATATTCAGTATTACAGGCATTCTGAAGTGCACTTACAAAAGTGAAGCATCAAGAAGTTCACTACCTGCTTTCTCCTGTCCTGGTTTCAGCAGCCAGTAGCAATCATTGCTATGCAAACGCATATGGAAAGCAGGCAGGTAGTATTACACTGCGGGGTTTGAACATACTGGTTCAAGCCTGGTCTCACAAGCCACAGGATTTTTAATTAAAAAACTGTCAGGTTTTGTGTAAACAAACTTACAAGTTTAGGGACATTTCTTAAATAAGGCATTTTGGAGATCTAAAGAATTTTTGGAAACAGAGTAGTGAACAAAAATACTAACAAGCCTAAAGTCTTGCGTTTGTCTCACGTGGAAATCATATCTAATTCCCCAACCACATTTTGCTGTCTTTTGCCTAAATTAACAGCAAATCTTGCAGTACAAAAGAGAAAAAAAATGGACCCAACAGGACCCTGTCTGTAGGAAGTACTTTAACGTGTATGTTTAAGCGTAGGACGTGTCATACTTGTCATACAATCATGGCCCTTCAAGTAAGGAATAAATCACTAAAGGGAAGAGCGGAAGCTGAAATAGCTGAAATAGGTTAACAGCTGAAAAACCATGCTGAATCGTAACTGAACAAGGAGTTCGTAAAATAATATTTCCTTCTAAAAATCATTAGGGAAACAATTCTCTGCTCATTGTAAGAAAGTGAAAGGCAATTTTCTTACAATACGAGCAGTTCAGTTTTGTATGGATTTTAGGTTTGATTTATGGGGCAACTGTTAGCTTTGTCCAGTTGTAAATCAGAGCAGAAATGTCTCTTTTAAGTGGCTTTTTTTGCTCTGACTTTTGTAGACTTCAACAATATCATTGAACACAGAAAAATGAATAATATATTTGTCATGTTGATATGTGTGATGTCCTGTTGTCCTGCTTTACTCTGGTTAAAGTCATATAAACCAAAATATTTGAAGAACTGAAAACTGGTGTTTATAGATTTTGCTCACAGCTTGTTGAGGATAATAGGTTATTGTTGTGATACCCATTTAACTGAAGATACAGCAATGAAATATATATATCCACTGAATAGACACCATGAAAATAAAAAAGTGGTATTTGAAATTATCAGAGTGCAACCAGATAGCATAAGCTGGCTAGAATTTTCCATAGCAAAAAGTAAAGAACAGCCAAAGTCATAAAAACTCTTCGAATTAATAATCATCAACAAAGCACTTCCAAATATACAATATTTTGTAAACTCTCAGTGTTCTCATTCTAAGTATGTTAAAATTAGATAAATATATACATATAATTGATGTAAATATTAATAGTGCCCAAAATTTAAGTCTCTCAAGATCGATAAGGTTTGTAAAACTAGGGAAATGGTATTGCAACGGCATGCATGTCGAATTGTTTACTTTTCTTTATCCACAGATCATGAAGGAAGTTCGGAGAGCATTGTGCAATGCATCAGCTGATGACAGTAAACTCTTACTTCTCAGCGCAGTGGGAAGTGTATTCTGTAGTGGCCTAGATTACTCATATTTAATTGGCAGGTTATCCAATGACAGAAGAAAGGAAAGCACTAGGATTGCAGAAGCTATAAGGTGACCCAAGCTTACCTATGATCTCTAAATTATGAAATGCAGTGTGTGATTATAAAGGTATTTATCAGGTCCAAAAACTGTTGTATATTTAATTGTTGATTGCATTCTAATTATAGTCCTACGGATCTGTTCAGTAAGAACCTTGGACCTTCTCAATGTTAGAAAACAATGCACATTCATTCCAGTGCTGATATCCCACAGGGATTTCTTTTTTTCCCAATTCTCTGTATTTAATATTTGAAATCATTCCTCCAAATTCAAATATAACTTTGTTGTTTATCCAAATCAGTCACTGCTTTATGTTCCAAAGTGGTTCTTGAAAGGCAGATACTTTACTTGTTTTGATGTTCATCATTGCAATGAATTTCAGTACAAACAAGAACCCATGGCTTACTCACATTCTGTTGAAATAGCAGTCTGTCACTGTATTTTAGAACCTTATTAGAAGGGTCTCCACTCTTTTTCTTAAACTCAAATAACTTAATATATATGCAAATGTAGTTTTATTTTCATAACTAAAATGTGACTTTCCTTATATATAAATCACATTACCTTAATAGAAATCCAGGGCTTATGACATGCAGTCTACAAATCAATCTGCACAATACATCACCAAAAATTTCCATTATCCACAAGGTATTTTTTATACATACTTGCCCGATCTTCCAGTATAAATCAACATCAGTCCACTAAAGCCAATGGTATTTCACCAGTCTGTACCAGGAGAGGGCTTGGTCCGTATTTTTGTCCCCCCACTTTCTACAAATAAATATTACTCTTCTGAGAGCTTAAAAACTTTATGCAACAAGTTTGTGAAGCAATATGAAATAATTTGTTTTACAACAGATCTGTCTTTTGCATATGTTAGTATAAAGTAAGATTACATTTAGTTACTACATGACATGTATTAACCACCAATTATCTTTGTTAAAACTGCTGCAGATCAATTTGGATTCCATTTAATACTTTTGAAATTCTGAAGGTAGTAATTACTTTGAAAGAATTTAAAATTAACTTCTTAAATATAACAAATTTTGACATGTTTTTAAGAGCCTAGCTATGCTTGAATATCATATAGAGATAGTTAAAAAAGAAAAACCTCTTGGAGTACGTATCCTAATTTATTTTTTACTTTAATGTGAAGGATTTTAAATAATGCGGAACCAAAATAAGTGAGGAAGGAAAATCACTGGTTTTGTCTGAAAATACAGACATGCTTGCACTGCATTAGAAGATAAAAATTTAATAATATTCATGTAAATGTTATGTAGATAGGTATTGTTATATATGTATACATTTATCCACACATATTTAATACACAGTTGTACTTATCAATTCCACATAAAAATGAGTATAAAATAGACTATAATACTCAGTTTTTCTACCCTTGGACTCACAGAACACTCTTGAAATACTGATTCAGTGTGCTGCTCCTTGTCAAAAACATCGGCTTCAGGCCCACTGGAAATAGATTTTTGTTGTACTTCTGGAAACAATACACTACGTTTTCCGTTTAGCACTCTCTGTGCTTTGTGTGAACAAAGGACTCAGCTAATGAAAATATACTGCAATAAGAGTAGAAAAAAATGTAAACTTTGCTTTTCAGTGGTTAGGATGTCCTCGAACACATTAATGGGTCTCTGCCTGCACTACTGTACGTCAAGTTAGACTTGTAGCAAAATGAAATTAAAGTCTTGATTACTGTATGTTTCCACTTTCTGACGTACGGTTCTCATATAGCGATCACAAGTCAAAAATGCAGTTTAAATACCCAGCATCTGTATTCATCTTATGTGAAAGATTATTTGTTTGGCTCCTGTCCTCATCCACTGCCTTTGGGGCTTGTATGTGGCCCTGTGGCTCCTCTTCAGGTACTGAACATAGATCCATCAGCCCAAGCTGCCACCGTCCAGATGTGTGTCTGGCATTACAATCCGGAAGCAGAGAAGAGGCAGACAGACTGCACTGCTGCGTGTATGTAGCCTACAGAGCCTGGCAGGAGAAAGCCCCATTGGAAAGCATTCCCAGCATCAGTCTCTCATTGTCAGTCAGGCATCCTTATGTGACCCGATACATAAAATTCTGGGTGTGCTCAGAAGAAAACGGAGAAGGATGACTTCACTCATTCAACTTCTTTATAGCCTTTGACATACTTACGAGCCCTGGCCTGCAGCATCCCAAAGTGTATTTGATCGTCAGCTTCCCAGACATCCTCTAGCAAAACCAAAAGCCTTCTGCATTGTGACACTTTTTCTTGTCTTTGAGCTTCTGGTTCTACTGTGGAATAACAGTTACAATTTTAAGTCCTCCTGAAAGACTACACTGAATCAAAACAAGGATCTTCTAGCCCAGAAACTAAGGGTGTGAACTTACGCTTCGAAGATGTAAAAACATGCCAGGTTCTCATTATAAAGACAATTCACTGAAATAGGTAATGTACCAAACAGGGAACACAGCAGCTGAGTGCGGTTCTGTTCACTGCAGCTTCTGTAGACCAAATACAGGCATTTGCTCCCCTCAAAAGTTCCCAGCATCATAGCCCTCGACTCCATCCTACAGGTGGCATATTCCACACCCATCCATGGTACCATTCTCTCTGCTCCCATCCTTTCCTCATGACGGAAGCTCATTGTGTCTTCTCAGTGTTCAGTTCCACTCTGTCCCAATCTCCAGATGCTCTCTTCCTTGCTCACTCGTGAAGATTTCGCATCTCCTTCAACCCTTCCCCTTCACTAATGTGTTCTGCTTTGTTCTTCCTCCCCATCATCTAACTGCTTCCTCTGCACATTCCTAATTGCTTTTCCATATTCACTCCCAGTCCCATTTATCAACACATTCTTCCTGCTTTTCTCCACCACACTGTTTTCTTCTGCCTTCACATGGTCCTCAGATCTGCTGCCAGCATTTATCCATAGTTTGTTCATTCATCCCATCCCCATTCCCATCTGTAGTCCTACTTGGAAGGCTCACTTACTAACGCTGTCAGAATTCTGGAATTAAGGTGCAGTGATCCACAGTCATTACTCAGCCATAAACAGCTGAAGAAATAACGAGATAAGGGAACAGCATTGCTTCTGCGAACAGAAATGAACCACAACTCTTCGTAACCCTGCTTCTAGAAAGGCATGTCTTCAAAGGCCAGATAAGTTCCTTATTTCGTTCTCTTTATCTTGCCACTTATCTTGTGTTTTACTGCTGACAGTGTGAAGAGAGCTGCATCAAGCCCACGAGTATCTATTTTCCCATGGTCAAAGATCAACACTTTACTAGGTAGCCAGAAAACCAGAACTCATTCATTGAATGTGTAATGCTGGCTCACCTCAGGCTCTTTGTTTCCATTTAAAATACAGGCAATGCCCTTGTCCCATAAAACATTTCTCTTTGGTATCTTTTCTGGTTTTTGCCATATGGGCACTCTGACCTGCCAGGCAGAGGCTCTGCTCCCAGAAACAGAAGACTCGGTCTTTTTGACCTCAGTGGCAGAACCACAACCCATCAAAGGGCGCATTTGACAAAATGTTCTTTCCTCAGATCTGTCAGCAAAGATGCACTCTTTGTGTGAACCAGGGCAGGAACAGACTCTCCTCTTTTGTTTCAAATTTGATTTATACATGTCTCTTTTCTAAAGTAATTGAGCATCTCGTTTCCTTCCATGTACCTGTCGTGCACTGAGCTGCTGGAGCCCATAATTTGCTCACAGTTACACTCATGCTTTTTCCTAATTGGGGTATAGGCTGTGTTCAACAGATATCTTTTCCACCGTTGCTGATACGTAGCTTATTTTAAATATCTCCTCACTGCACAGAATTTAACATGTTCTAGTTCATTCGTCTGGATGAATCTGATCACATTAGTTCCCCATTATTTCCTATTGCTTCACATTTACTGTTGTGCAAGCAAGGGCATCTACTTCGTTACATCTCTGCTGAAGACATTTGCAGCGAAGACTCAACAGATCACTTGGCTTATTCTTTCCCGTTCAGACATTTCTCTCGCTCTGACTCCCCTTTTTGGGTCTTACTCTTTCTGCTCGTGAGCCAGCAATGTTTACTATCTCCCAATCCATGTATGGGACTTGCAGTAGCATCTGACCTAGGGTCTTAAGAGAACTTAGAAAAAAATGGATATTCATCAATACACCTATGAGGTTCCTCTCTGTCATGCTATAATATGTCCATCAGGTTAGCCAAACCAGATTGTCAGAAGCCATACTACCCATAGTGGAGCAAACTGAGAAGCACTGTGTGTACAAACTCATGAATTACTATTCCAGAAGTAAAACTAAACCTGACCAAACCATTCTGCAGAAAGTCAGTGCATTCCAGTTAATCAGTTCACATACAACATACACAAAATTATTTAGTATGCCGGGTACTCAAAAGATTAAATAACTAAATATAAACAAACTTTTCCATGTGCAAACTAGAAAGTAGCTTGCAATTCTGACCTCATAAAACTGGGCCATGGCATTTATTGTGTTCATCTGTGATTCTAATTTGCTTTCAGATTAAGTACTTTAAATTTGGCTGGTTATCTGAGACTTACTTTTGTATTCAAGGTCTTTCTTCTATTTTTTGTTTTAGGGATTTTGTAAAAGCTTTTATTCAGTTTAAGAAGCCCATTGTGGTTGCTATCAACGGCCCTGCTCTTGGGTTAGGAGCTTCTATTTTACCACTATGTGATATCGTTTGGGCAAGTGAGAAGGCGTGGTTTCAGACACCATATGCAACAATCCGACTCACCCCAGCTGGCTGCTCATCATACACATTCCCACAAATTCTGGGGGTTGCACTGGTAAGGTTTTCAACCTCAGTTTGCTGAGGAACCCTTCTTAAATCCATGCTCTTCTTTTTCTCTTTAAAAAGTAAAACAGAAAACAACCGTTTCTCTTAATTGGCATGAGTGGAAATGAAATCTCTGGAAAGTTCATCTAATCCCTCCCCGTTTCTTACGACAAAATGACCTCAGAATTCAGTGTATTACACATGCTGTGCACAAGAAGGATTGAACACAGATTGAAAAAGCAAAGATCATCAAGGTCATGGTAGAAACAGGAAGTGATGCATTAGCAGAGTAGTGTTACAGAGTCCTTGTCTGTACCATGGTAGGATTGTGCAGAGACAGACCAAGAAACTGCCCTTTGCTCTCTAAAGATAATCCATAGTAATTCCAGTAAGGTTGATTAGTTTTTACCAGTATAACAAAGCAGAATTTGCCCCACAGAGTGTTATATACTAGGATCCATGACTCTTGGCACAGTAGCACTGACAGTTACTCTTGTAAAATCAGCAATACAGATTCATCATGCATGCCAGCACATTTCTTTTAAATGAAACCCATGCTGTGCTCTGGCCACCTGCACAATCCTTAAATAGCTACCGAAACTCCTTTTAAAGTGTTTTGCAGTATGGAAAGATAGAGGAGACCATTTGTAAATTTAATCCTGAAAATATCAGGCAAGTATGGAAAAACCTTTGAGAGACTGATAACACACAATCACATGTAATCTTTTGGTTTCACAGGCCAATGAAATGTTGTTCTGTGGGAGAAAGCTGACCGCACAGGAAGCCTGCAGCAGAGGACTAGTGTCACAAGTATTTTGGCCAACAACATTTAGCCAAGAAGTGATGCTACGAGTGAAAGAAATGGCATCCTGCAGTGCAGTGGTAAGAAATCACACTCCTTTGTGATTCAACTCATTTCACAGAGCTAATGTGTGCTCCAAAGGCTCATCACGTGGTGGGTCCACAGTTTCTACAACCATACTTGTGAAAGAAGGTTGATAACAGACAATCTGAATAGGGATCCGTGAGTTCATGAGGTTTCTCATTTTTCAGCGTCAGGGAGGGGTATTTATTTTCCCTATCTTCACATTTATTCAATATGAGTGGAACCTCCTTGCCCCAGATTTTTAAGGGGGATTAGCATAGGTTTATTTCATGAAGATGGAAGAGACTGTAGCAATACAACTGGACTGGGAGATCTCTGCAGGGCCAGTAAGGAAGGACAGTAAGAAAATAGATTCGCCTTTCACAGTGTCCTAGCCTACTACATTTCAACTGGATCTGCCTTTTTTTCTGCACCTGCATAGTTCCTGGTTCTGCAGAATGTGCAGAAGAAGGCACCAGAAGGGTAGGAAAGTGCCAGCTAAGCTCTGCTGTGCAGGAGAGGTGAGATCCAGACACAGAGGGATTTGAACACAGTCTGGTCACAGTGTATTATAACTTCCTTTTGTGTACATTGAAGTTGAAAGAAAATCCTTTCCTATTTTTACTTCCTAAGGATTTTCCCTTCAGGCAAATATGCTCCTATTCTGTGCACATCCTTGCTTAAAAAAGAAAACAATGCTCAGAGTGAAGAAGGTGATACTGGCTGCAATAAAACTGCTCCAGCAGAAGTGCACACGGTTGTCATTTTGTGCTATACTTCTTATGCCTGAAATTCTTAGCATCCCTTCATTTAAGAGATCTGTCATAAAAGAGAAAATAGAGACGCACAAGATTTTTAATTAAATCAAGTGTAGATTAGATCTTCTGAAAAGACATTCAGAATGAAACTGCAAATGTAGCATAAGCTTATTTGATCATGCTGATATAATGTATTATATGAGTTGGGAAAACCTCTGGGCTTCACTGTGAATTACTCTTTCCTTCGCTGTTCCTGGCTGTCAAGGGAATTTTCTCTTGAGACCTGTTAGAAAGACTGGTGCTAACTTGTGGTCAAAGATGAGAGTTAAAAGTGTCAGAGACAAGATTTACTCTCTCTGATCCTAAATGCAAATCAGGCTGAAGTCACAAAAACAAAGAATATGATGAGCTCATCTGAGTTCACTGTGGATACTTGTTCACAAACAGACCAAAAAGAACACACAGGGCCTCGGCATTTGCAATGAACACCATCTACTTGAGTTAAAGAGAAATACTACTTTGGAATAGCAGTGTGTAACCTAGACTTGATAAGAACTGGGCTTAGCATGTAAGTATTGACAAAGCTCAGTGGAGAGTGTGTGTCTCCCTTACCATGAACACTGTGTTGGTTCACATTAAATCTTCTACCCTCAAAAGACCAGCAATGTATGAGTTATTAATGGTTTTGACTAGTCAGGTTCCTTGTGAGGTACATGCTCGTGTTACATATTTTAAAAAGGATTTTAAAGGCTGCAATCTGTGTTTAAATTGGGTCTAGGAAATAAACCGTATTTGCAGTAAAGGCCGTTTTGGGTTCATCTCTGTTTTGATAAGGAAATGATGCATGAGGGAAGATTATTAAAGGTGATGGATATCCACAGTGGGGTTTCCAACCTCTCTAACCTTAAAGACTACCTTCCAGAAAGCAGGTAGCCAGTGTATCATGCCTCACATTTTCATTCCAAAGGGTAACATTCTTAGGTCTGTCTAGTGCTTCATGGTTTCAGTAAACTAAAGCAATTCAGAATTCTTCATGCCTTTTTAAAATGTTGGCACTACCACATAAACTTCAAAAGTCCTTAATTCTTCAAGATGCTGACTATCAGCAAGTGGAGTTATGGCTGTAAATCAAATCTAGTTTCTGTGCCCGAAGGAGTTATTTAAATTGTAAAACAGAGTCAGTAGTGTAAAAATTCTGTTCACACCATTATCTGTAATAATTTTAGCAGATGCAAAATGAGATTCTGAGTGATATTTTGGCTTTAGGTATTGGAAGAGTCCAAATGTCTTGTGCGGAGCTTCCTGAAATCTGGACTTGAAGATGTGAATGAGAAAGAGTGTCAGATGTTAAAACAGCTGTGGAGTTCTTCTAAAGGACTGGATTCATTATTCAGCTACCTGCAAGACAAAATATATGAAGCCTGATGTATTGGCTTAACTTAGAAAATGCCCCAGTTGTGAACCAAGTCAAATGTTACCTGTGTTTGAAAAGCAGAGGCAATGCATCAGTGAGGAATTTGTGACAGTGTATCCTAATACATATGGTTGTGTTGATTTCCTTGTGAGATACACAGCTGCTTGTAGCTGGTATGATTTTGTGTAAGCGAGACGTAGGCAGGCTTGTTCAGTGCACATAATCTCAACAGAGGGCTGCATCTTTCACATTGCTCATCCAGGTAAAAGTATACATTCCATGTGCTGAGAAGCACCATTGAGGCCCAGTGAGGCACACCATCTGTAATGATTTATTTTGTCTGTCCTTCTTAACTTATTCTTGCTGTTGCCACACATCTGGGCTGACACAGAGGGCTCAATCTAAAAACTGGGTCAGCCCAGTATTTTGTAGACCCAAACACCATGCTTTAGAAATACCTTGATTTTTTTTCATTTTTCCTAAGTTCTAGCAGTGTAATGGAAGAATTTGATAATTTATATGTATAATATGTAAAGTTAGTTTTACAAAAGCTACTAGGAATTTTTTTCTTTGTTGAATTTATTTAACTTATTTATTTTGTGTTCATGTTCAGCTGTTTGTTGGTCACAGGTCTGATTTTTCATACTGCCCTTGACTGAATTAATGGCATCACATGGGAATGCAAACACAATTACAGCAGCAAATTGTGTAGAAAAATAAAGAATATATCGGAAACACGCAGGATGCTGCAGGCATTAAAAGAAACAGTCACGTGCATGCTCCTCTGTGTTTAAAATTGTACAAAAAAATGTATGGAATAGATTCATTTGTGAGGGTTAGAGGGGGAAAAATGGATTCTGAAGCAGCGAGTCCCCCTTAAGTCTCTCTTCACTTTCTGCCTTCTTGAGGGGCATTGAAGGGCTTGCCAAGGAGATGCTTTATTTAAGTTGACTATACTCCTGTTAGCCGGGTATCAGTGACAGGGTGAGTGGTGCCGTTATGTGGCGTTGTACTGTTTTTCAGGTTTAAACATCCCCTTTTGGTCTGAAGTCTAAAAGCAACTCCTTATGAGCCTTAGTCTAGTTGCCTGATTCCTCAGGTGTGAGATAATTCCTGCTCTGGAGGCCTTTGGGTGCAGGCCAGCAGTTTATACAAGGTGCTAGGTATTGAACTAAATGGAGGGAGCAGTTTTGTTTTGCTCTCCACATCTGGCCACCCCGCCATCTGGTACAAGAACTTAAGGCTATCCATAAAAGCAGTCCACAGTAAACTACAAAAAACCAATCTGCTGTTTTAGAATGTGATCCTAGTACTTTTCAGTGACACTGATTGACTCCTGAACACTGGACCTCCAAGTTCTGTCTCGTTAGTGAAGCAATTAATATGGAAGTAACTCAAGCATGCTCTGTGACTCCCCTGCCATTGCGGTGTGCCCAAACCAGCGCTTTTTGAAGCAGAAGCTTTGCACATTTGTTTGCTTTGTGATTTGTGCACTTGCTCGCTGTCCTTCAGCTCAATTACTTGCTAATGGTTTAAACCTCTGCAAATGAAGCTGCTAGGTTTTCTCCCTCCTGGTATTTCCATGATGAGTTTCAACAAAGCCTCTGTAAAGTTAAAGGTGATTAAAGTACACAGTAACCTTCAACACATTAATATAACATTCTTTTTTCTCAATAATTAGAAGTACTGTTTCTACAGCCTAACTACCACTGAATTTTAAGGAAATCAGCACTTTAAGAACAGAAATTCTCATGGAAATTCTTCAGTAAAAAGACAAAGTCTGGCTTCTAATTAGCCTGTTCAGTGGTTTCCACAAAAAAAATAAAAACAGAACAAGTAACTTCTAAGCATCTGAAACTAAACTCTTTCAGTAACTATTGGAAGTGATGCGTGCACCACTTGTTCTAGACTAATACTTGCTTATTTCCACAACCTGCCAGCAAGGCCTCATAGTGCAGGGACGTAGCTGAGTCAGGGCCGTGGGATCCCCTACTCTGCTGCTATGCACATGTGAGTCACCTGGATGGCATTTAACAAGAGGGGTTAATCAAATGAAACCACTCACATGCAGAACATGTGCTCACACAGTCCAGCATATGACTTCATAAAGAGAAACGAAAAAAAGCAATGGAAAGTACCATGATTCCTCAGTTTCCTTCATTTCCTTTATGCCTATTCAGAGAGCCATAACTCCTAGTCATGTGCTAGTAAGACATTAGGAAGTTTATTATAATACTGTGCTTGGGTTTTGCAGACAGAGAGAAACTGCTCAGCAATGTGAAGGTATGCTTTCCAGATGAGATTTTCAGAGAAGAATCGTAAGTTGTTAAGACCTTTAAACTGCATCATTTCATCTGAATTTTCAGATACCTATATCTTAGCATCTTAGCATTTTTTATGACAAAGGAATGGTTGAAATACATTTTTCTATAATTATTTTTCCATTAAAGCAAGCGCTAACCATAGTTAACATTTTTAATTATTCATATCTATACAGTTACAGTCTAGTTTTCATGGACTCTATTTTCCCTTCCAAAAAGAGTAATAACAATGTCAAAAGCTTCTTTTCCAGTATTTAAAGATCAGAAATCAATTTTCTCTTGTGTTTCTGTCCTTACTAGGTATTCAGATATCTAGATGTACTGTACATGTTAGTCTGGGTACCTTTACTAATATTCACAGTATTTAAGATTATAAATGCAATTTGTTGTTAAGTATGTTTATTCTTGTGTAAATTGTTTTGTACAATCTTTAAAAATCTACAGTTTTGCATTTGTAGATATTAAAGGTAAGCAATTTATTTTGTGTTGTCCTGCATGTATATTTTTGCTGTAGATAAGTGTTGCTTAGATTACTATTTCATTACATTTCTGTTTAAATGAATAAGCTTACAAACTTTAATACAGTATATATTTTCAGAATATAAACTTTTATATTTCTGTGGTAGGTTAGGGTATGCGTTTTAGGCAATCTTTTTCACTACTGTTAACTGTTCTTTTAATCTCTGATATAATGGTTTTGTGCCAATAGTTTTTCATTAGAATAAAATGCTCTTTTAATGGTAGGGATAAACACACAATTTTGGTTGGGGTTTGTTTTGGTTTGGTTTGGGTTTTTTTATTATTTTGCCAGCCTTTACAGTTTGAAAATGTAGTTTTATTGCATTTGTGAATAAGCCTTACCATTAGGTACAAGAAATCTTTAAAGCTATATAAATTGCTTATGATGTAGTGCTAAGGACTTCCCCAAATAATTGCTGTAAGAAAGTTAGCAAATTAGAGTACAGGGCCTTAAGTTTTTCCTGTGAAAAGGGTAATACGGGTTGGTTTTGAACAACATAGGTAGATTTGTCAGCATGGGCTTTGTTATATATAAACTGTGCATTTGTGCTCCCAGCCACAGTAGTTTATCTCAGGCTTTGTGTGGCTGGGTCTATAAAAGTCAAATCTGGCTAAAGCCAGCGCTCTTTAGGAGACACTAAAGAAGTTTACATAAGAGACTTATAGACAATCTTATAGTACATTTGGGTACTCAGTATCCTAGATGTGTTATCTGTGTCTGCCCAATTAACCGTATGTTTTAAGCCATATTAAATCTCTTTACTGCTACTTCAGATACTACACTGAAAGTCATTCACTAGCTTGCTTACTCACAGACGGGATTTCAGTTTTTAGTGAATAAAAATATTATGCCTTCCATAAAAACAAAGGACCAAAGAATTCCATTATTTTAACAAAGCATTAGTTCCTTCACCAGTGAACTGGTTTGACATTTATACTGAAGATCAGTCTATTTCTGCTACAAACACTGCATTCTCATCCATGTCAAGCATAAGGGGAAAAGATGTATCCACGGACCTATAGGGAAAGGAGTGACGTTCAGCTAGGATGGTATGTCTATTGGTAAGGCTTATTACCAAACCTCTGAGAAGAAGCAAAGAACCAAAAATTCACAAATTACATCAATGTAACTTTATTTTCAGAACTTGCACAAAGAATTAATTGTAAAACTTTGCAAATTAGCCCCTTAAGTTATTTTGTCAAAATGCCATGGAACAGACTAAAACGGTTTCTAATATTTGTAACAATGAGTACATATTATAATATGATAAGGGTACAGGCACCCCTATGTCACAGTGTTGTAAATATTTTCTGAAACTGGTACAGTACTGAGGGACTTGTATCTTCTGATATATGAAATATTGGCTGTCTAGATCAAACTGTACACAATTTATTTGTTGATGGTCCTGTAACTAGTGTATGGACACATTTCTGGGTGCCTTAGAAGTTGTATTTTTCATGTGTGTTAATATGCAGTATTTATACATTGTGAGAAGCTGCTTTGAATAAAAACATTGAAACTTCATTTCAATGCGGTGACCTTCAGTTTTACACAGTCAGAATGATTGTGATAAGTAGTAGCCACAGACCCTTGCTTGTATTACATATGATAAAGCTATTCATGGACTCTGGCCTTTCAAAAGGAATCAGGCGTACAGCAGGCTTTTTAAAAGAGAAGTTAAATTTAAAACTTTTGAAGGGCAAAAACCGGGGCACTAAAAGACACTGCATAAGAGCTGTCTGAAATCGTGCATTATGATCCATCTGTTTATCATTTCATTATCAAATCCAAGGAAATCAACAAGACCTGTCCTATAAATACACTTCTAGGACACCTTCTCCACCATTATCACTTCCGCTATTTAATACCTGAATGTCACCCAAAGCATACCTCTCCAGAACCAACTATTTGCACACAGTATTTCAGCTCCCTGTGGAGGAATTTGATATTAAGGTGGTATTTTCCAGGGAGGCCATTTTCCAGAACCCTGTTGGTGCAGTGTGAAGCTGAGTCACCCTATGGCCCTGCATGGTTATAGACACCATGGGGTCTCATGTATACAAGGTGATAGTTTGGCTGTAGCATCCATGAATGCTATTTCAAATCATGTATCTCCCATGATTGGAAGCGTAACTATTTAGAACTATTAGAAGAGTAACTAAATTACTTCCACCAGTGGTAGAATAGGAGGGATATTTCTGTAGGGAGCCAGTGTTACCTAAACCACCTATACAACAAGGTCTGAAGAAACAACCTACATTTGATTCAAAGGACAGCAACAATGTCCTAGCAATTATATTGGTTAGCTTTAATCTGACAGACACCGTTAATAAAAACTGTAGTCAGCTATTTAGAGCAGAGGATTGAGCAATTTAGTCTTGCTTCACTATCAGCAAATCCAATTATTTATTGCGGTGATTCTTGCCAGGAATTAACTTACCATAGCTTGCGCTGGACTGTAAGCAACGTACATACACATGATGGGTATAACACTGTTTCTGCCCAGCAGTTTTATTGATAGGTTCTGGTCTTAACACAGATTGCCAGCATGAGCATTTCATTTTAAATAATTCAACTTTAAAGGAAAGCAAAAATTCTTTAAAATGAAAAAATCCACCCAAATATTTTGTCAAGCCAAGGTTTCTGAAAGCAAGATAAATGTTAGTCCCTCTTGCTGTAAATTAATACATGACCAAACTACATGGAAGGGGAACCCATTAAGGATGCTGAAGAGTGACTCTTCATTAGGGACTGTAGTGGTAGGACAAGGGGTAATGGGTTCAAACTTAAACAGGGGAAGTTTAGATTGGATTTAAGGAAGAAGTTCTTTACTGTGAGGGTGGTGAGGCACTGGAATGGGTTGCCCAAAGAAGTTGCAAATCCTCCATCCCTGGCAGTGTTCAAGGCCAGGTCAGACAGAGCCTTGGGTGACATGGTTTAGTGTGAGATGTCCCTGCCCACAGCAGGGTGGTTGGAACCAGATGATCTTAAGGTCTTTTCTAGCCCAAATCATTCTATGATTCTGTGACGCTATATAAAATAGGTGTACAAATTTAAGAGGACAAAAGACTAGTCTATGAATTGCACGTATAAAAGAACAGGCAGGTATTAGTCCCAAAGATATAAACAGTACTCAAACAGGTCAAAACTCTACATGTATTAAAACATGCCAGTTTCCCATTTTGAGTTTTGAATAACAGAAACAATATTACAGACGGAAAAAACAGGGAGAGGTTCTGAAATGAAAGCATGTGAGAAAACCAGACTAACACCATCTTAAAGATTGTGGGAGCTCAAAGCAAATCAAGTCTTGGAAGTCGGACTCAGGGATAGTTTGTGTGAGGAAGAGAAAATCAGAGGGTGACATTCTGGCCCCGTAACATTATTTTTCATGATGAAAGATGATAAAATTTAATAAAACATAATGCATCTCTTCATGACTGATGTCTGACGACCTCAAAACCAAACCGCAGTCATAGCACGGGGACAGTTCCAAATTACTCAGAAAGCCAGAATAACAGCCCACTCTAGAGTGCAAACCATTTGCATTGTGCTAGCACCACTTTGCTTTAATTTATACTTTTTCCTTGGTTTTACAAAATTTGCTCATTACAAATGTATAATAAAAATAGAACCATTGGAAACTTTGTTGAACTCCAATTATTAAGTCCATCTGGCTTGACACAGTAATTTTCAGTCAAAAGTACTATGGGAGAAAGAATGGAATTTTCATTTCTGGAAAAGGAAACAGTTTATTTTTTTAGTAACTTAAAAATCCTAAGCTAAACTGCGTCATGTTTCCTTTATCACTTCCTGGCATTGGTGTTACTTGAACAAATTGGGCGAATCCAAGTCAAAAGCCACCAACATCAATGGCGATCTTACTGACTTCAGTTCCTTCTAGGTCAACCCTAGTGGCTGACATGCCACAGCAAATTGTTTCACCATAACAGCACATGGAATATCTTGTAGACATCTTCAGAGAGCAATGTGGCACCAGTCAGAAAGACATAACCAGCACAGTAGGCAGGGTTCCATGTCCTTTATTCAAAATTCAACAAGCAGTGACTAAGACATTTTTATTAAAATTCACCATTTTCAACTTTATCCGTGATTCCTGTTAGTAGTAAGTCATGTCTGCTGGGTTTTAGCCCTCCCAAACTCTTTGGTCACATTCATCAGCTTGGATTCTGGATGACTATGTAAAATCTGTGAAACTGACTTTATACCTTGGTCATAGACAGACATATGTTTGTGAACAACTATAAAGAGAAAAGTGAAAATGCTTTTTGCAACTAAGAGTCGTGTTGGAAATAGGGGCTATGGAACTGCCACTGCCTCCCAGGATGTTAGATTAAAAGCTGCACTAGCATTAGTTTCTATAATGAAAAGATTTAAACACTAAGCAGCAATCTTGACTTGTTAGGATTAAGTTAATTACTATCATCTAGAAGTAAGTTATTCACAGTCATCCAGAAATGTGTTTCTGACGTGTCTGTAAATAAGTGCCACAATTTCCATTACTCCAAAAAGATCAGCAATTTCATACTGCTGTCCTGCCAGCGCTCTGGTTAGAGATTACACACACTGCCTACCAGGCTCTCCGGGGTATTCACGTTCTACACGAGCTTCATCAAATGGATAAAGGCATTCATAGAGAACTCTTCCCATGACTAATTATTCACGATCTCCATTATCTTACCCTCTCATTTGTTTATCTTGTATGCAGCTGCAGCAGATTGTTTGTCAAGGACTCAGACTGGCAAACAATTCCCTCCAAGTCCACTTTTTGCCCACTAGGCTTGTAATGAGCAACAACTCCAAACCCCTGCCAGCTACCAGGGATCCCCTCCTGCTTCTAGGGTGAAGGTCAGATCAGCTCTGCTGATCGGCAGCAGCATGCCCACTGGTTAGAGCATGGGGTTTGGAGTCAACAACTGCTTAACCCTGATCCTCCCTTTACTTCTGAAAGCAAGCCCTGATTAGTATCAGCAGTCCAGCCCTCTGTGGGTTTTCCTGCCATAATGACCTTTCATCAGTCCTTTGCACAGGGCTGTGCCCTGGAATGACACCTGGAGCAATGTAAGTTGTTAACTACACAGCAGTCTACAAGTTCCTTATGCCAAGGACCAGGCCATGCGAAAAAAGCAACGGACAAGGCAACCATAACACCCATAGCACCCCCAGCACCATGCTGTGCCTGCATTCATCAGACCAGAAAAACAGGAGATTATACTTTTCATGTATTTACATGTAACAGAATAAAACGGATACACTTAATTTCCCTGCTGCTAATGTGACGCCAGTTGGAAAGAAATATCCCAAAACGTGTTAGACCTGGTAGGATTCCTCTTCCATACATGGCTGTAACTAGTTAAAACACAAAGACACTATCCCTCGCTAAATGGGGTATCTTAAATTAAATCCACCTTCTCTAAAAATCTATTGAAAGATCAAACTGAGCTTTAAAGAAATAGGCTACGATACGGCTGATCTGAAAGGCTAAAACCTTTACCAGCCGTTTCGAGTATGAGAAAATCCAACAGCACTCCATTTGGGATTCAAGCACTCAGTAAACACACTCCACAACCATACCATGGCTGTGTGCCAGCGAAATGGTGAGTCAGCAGGCAGGGTAAGGAATCAAGTGTCAAGAATCCATTTAACCCTCACTCCAGAGAACACTTTTCTTACAAATAGAACAAAAACACTCTGTGAAAAGCAACAAAACAAAAAAATGACCGGAATTCTTTTCTCCATCAGGCGCCTCTCAATTTTCTTCCATCTTAGAGGAGCTCTCACATTTTGAACTGGGGCATATGCTTAAGAGAACAGCAATCAGCAAACTGATAACAAAGAGCTGCATGGACACCAGCCAGTCCAGTCCTATGACAAAAATCCCTCTGGCGATCCTGGCAAGGCTGAGAGAGGAAGGGTCTCGTGAGAGCATTAGAATTGATAATACTACATACTTGCAGAGATGTAAGAAGCAAGTACATTTTCCTAATGAAAATACAGTTCAGATGATCGGCCATACTCCCAAAGGACTCTCTGCGTGTTGCTTTGCTCACAGTGCTCTTGTGGAGCATTTGATGAGATCACAAGATTTCCTAAGTCATTTTTAAGTTAATCTCTCTTAAGGAATTTTGCGTGACCACCCTGGATACTCCCTTCAGGAGAGCATCACAGGACTGAAAAAAAAAGATGAGGATTGAAAAAATAACAAAAAAAAAAAAAAAATGAAAGAGAACCCAATCTTCCACCTGAAAATTTGAACACTCATTCACGAGGCTGTTAAACACTGCCAAACCAGAATGGCAGCATTTTATACCGACTTTCTTACTCACTCTTCACAGGTGTAAATAACCACATTGGACACCTGCGGAGGAGGGGAAAGAGGGGGAAAAAAAGGCTGTAGTTAATTACCTTCACAGTGTTAGTTAAGGGTAATTATAGACCAGCTGTGAACTTGGAGTTTACTCCCGTCAGGGAACAGATACAGCTCCCAGTCAAAGGCTGAGAAC